CATCGCTTATGCCAAAGAGCACTTGGCGGAGATACGCCAAAGATTCTTACCAATGGTGCCTTCATCACAGGTGGAGATGAAGGAGCACACTAAGAACTACGCCGAATGGCTGAAGAATGGTTTGGCACAAGGATCCATCGATGACATTGCTACGTGGTTGGCACAAAAGCTGTCACCTATGGTGCTGACGTACCAATGCAAGCATATGACATAAATGGATACACGTACTACACTGAGGAACATGATAAGAAGACCTCGTATCAGAATAACTCTGTTCGAATAGAATGCATGACTGTAAATGAAGCTGATAAAAGGTATACTATGGATCCATCAAACGGATTTGGGAGCTTGACTATGTGAAAGCTAAGGTGGCATTATTCAGGTGCGCATGGATCCCTCTTGGTCAGGTAAGGATTGATGAGTACAGGAAGACATGTGTTAACAGGACAACGATGGCATATCACGCGGACCCATTCATTCTTGCCTGCGATGGTACCCAGATTTTCTTTGTGGAAGACCCCTTGCATAAGAACGGCCATTTAGCGATGCATGGGAAGAGAAGGGTAGTGGGTGTCTACGATGTTGCCGATCAGGACAAGTACAATGAATTTGATGAGTTGCCAGCCAAGGGATCACGCACCAGTGCAACAGAGAAGAAGTTTAAAATCATCAAAAAAACCCAAGTTCATTCGGGGTCAACTTAATCCCCCGTGTACATGGGAATTAAGCTGTAAGACTAGTCTTTATGCCTACCCTGCAACTTAATTCGTTCAATTTAGAACTGTCGTGTGTACTAAATTTGTGAGTTATGCCCGGTTTTCTATTGATGTAAGAACCATTAATATGTTGACCTTGATACGCTGTCAGCTCAGGCAATGACTATGAATTGTTTTTTGTTATTATTATTATTATTATTATTATTATATCATAGAGGTAGAACACTCAATCGATCTCACTGCAGTATGTGTGAACAAAAATGTGCAATCTGGTTTGCGAGTAGCACACGGTTCATTGATGAAAGCCGTGTGCGGACCAAACCCCGCCACCACCCCACCCACGATCTGAGTCGTGCTTTCTGATTGGCCAGAACCCAAACCCCACGGATCATACATCTGCACCGTTGGATGCTCCCAGATCGAACGCCTATCCTCATCCCTTTCGATAACACATGCAGTTCTGGTTGTAATTTTATTTTTATGCACAAAATGCACCTTAATATCAAAAAATGTCTTAAATATAGCTAATGATAACTAAAATGTGCCAGAAAATCAAACCCGTGGTATAATGGTGATTGCGTACCGTGGAAATTTTTATGAGGCCAAACGATGAAGTCACCGGCCACAGGAGTTTGAATTGACACGTCTCCTTTTGGAAAACCATGATCCTTCATGTGAGATGCTGCTGTTTGGAAGGAGCGGTCATCAAAACTTGTGCCAAACTTTACCAATTTTTTTCCACGGGGTCGTGAGAGCACGCCACAGGCACACAGCGATTTTGATGATGTCCGAACTCCATCTGAATTTTCTGTAATTGAAATACCAGCTAGGCCTACTCTAGTGGCCGCACCTCGCAGCCGAAATGTTTCAAACTTCTCCCCGCTTCTCGAACAAGCGGATGAAAACTCACAGAGTGACGCACAAATGATCTGTACACCTTTGCTAGGCTGATAGTAAGGGGCTATCATAGCTAGTATCATGCATGCCAACTAGGCAATTTTGATGAGCTGTCATAGAATTAATTAAATGAACAAAGAGAGGGTTAAGTATCATATCATGAAACCATATCATAATAAATGTTATGCTACTACGTGTCATGCATGACAATATAAATAAAGTACTACATATGATACTAGCTACTCTATGATACTATGCATTATTAGAGCAAGTAAGTACACAATAGAGTGACATAAGACTAGCCACAATGGGTAGTAACATAGAATGTTACTAGTCTATGTTACTACCTCTATTGTGGGGAGTAACATATGTGTAGTAACATGCAACACTTCATTTATTAGGCTATAGACTCATCTTGCCTTGAGATGTGTGATGTTACTCAGACTAGCCACAATGGGTAGTAACATAGACTAGTAACATGCCCATGTGTTACACTGGTCTATGTTACTACCTCTATAGTGGGGAGTAACGTATATGTGTGGTAACATGCAACACTTCATTTATTAGGATATAGACACATCTTGCCTTGATATGTACATGTGATGTTACTCATACTACTAGTAACTAGCTATGTTACTACTTTCCTCTCTTTCTTCAATTATTGCTTGCCGCATCATCTACTTTATCTAGATATGTGTGATGTTACTACCTTGTTACTCCCATTGTGGGTAGTCTCATACTAAAGTAAGACTATACCCAAAGTGGGAGTAACATAGGTAGTAACATCACACATATCCACTTTCCTTCATTTCTTCATTTATTGCTTACCACATCATCTATATTATCTAGATATGTGTGATGTCACTACCTATGTTACTCCCATTATGGGTAGTCTGGCTATAAGGAATAGAATAATATATATATGTGCTTATTAGTTTGAGGAAAGAGAAGAGAAGCGGGCTCTTGGTTAGTAGAGCCAGCTGCAAAAGGAGACCCGCCAAGACACTTTGTGAGGATGTAAGGTGGGCCAACTATTGATAAACTAGTACGTATATAAAAGTTATTATTGTACATACCCGCTAAGAGGTTGGTTGTATATGACAAGTCAACTTCTTATAGCCGACCCTTGGTTGTATTATTAACCATGCTCTTAGTGAGGTAGCTAGTATATCATAGGCGACTAGCTAGTATCAGACTAGCCATAGTGGGAGTAACTTCAGCAGTAACACCGACTCCAACTTAGCAAACTTGCTTATGTGGAAATAAGTTAACGAGGAGAGAGATAGTTTCAGTAACTTCGATAGTTATTGTAGCATCACATGTCCCAATGCAATATGAGTTTGTAACCTAAGAAATGAAGCTTTGCATCACACTACACTTATGTTACTACCTACTATTAAGGTAGTAACATATATAGTCTAGGGACATGTGTATGTTACTAGTGTACTACTCTCCATTGTGGCTAGCTAGTCTCATACTCCCTCCTTTCCGGTTTAGCTAGGTTGGTTGTAATGGTATTATCATAAGCGGTATGATGCATGCCAACTAGACTTTTTGAATGATGTGGCACACATGAGAGGATGTGGTATCATATCATGATATCGTGTCATATTAAATTTTGTACTACTACTTTGTGTGATTAGTAAGGCAAGCTAAGATGGTAACTTATGATACTATGCATTATGGAAGTAGCTAGTATCCTAGCTACACTACCATATATATGCATGATACTACTAGTATATATATGATACTCTCCCCATTACAACCGGCCTTATAGGGCTCAATTCAAAAATCTCACCAACCAAGGTAGATGGTGAGTGGTGGAATACCTTTGTAGTTTGCAAGAACACCCAATTAATGCTTTTGTTTTCCTCAAAAATTTATGTTTTCCAAGGTATTAATTGCAATACATGCATGCATATATAAAGTACATGCATTGGTCAACTTTCTCTTAATACTTACATGCAATGATTTAATGCACCTTGGAATCTCGACATGTGATGAGGAACAACCAAATTGAGCCTTATAAAATGGACAAACTAAAATTTTGAGATAAGCCTATAAACCGGAAAGGAGGGAGTATATATGCATGATACTAGTATATGATCGGCAATACCTCCGTAATGCGCGCATGTATAGTATCATGAGTTAGTATCTTAGATTCCTTACTAATTACCATGCATGACACAAAGTAGTACACCATTTAATATGATACGATATCATGATATGATACCACACACCCTCTCTTTCATCATTTAACTATGTGCCACATCATCCAAAAAGTCTAGTTGGCATGCATCATACCGCTTGATACTCCCATATTACGACCAACCTTATTAGGGTGGCCATAGTGGGGGTATCATAGCCGTATCATGCACCCGAGAATAGAAAATATGATGATATGGCAAAGAAGAAGTAACATAGGTAGATACCGTAACATATATATATATAATAAATGCTATACTACTTTGTGTCATGCGTGGCCATAAATATGGTCATCTATGATATATACTCCCTCAGCAAACTAATATAATAGCGTTTATGTCACTATTTAGTAATCTAAACGCTCTTATATTAGTTTACAGAGGGAGCTAGTACTACTCTATGATACTATATATGCACTATGAAGGTACGTACTCCCTCAGTAAACTAATATAAGAGCCTTATTAGGGTGGCCATAGTGGTGGTATCATAGCCGACGATGTCATGCACTCGGAAATAGCAAGTATATATGCTGATGTGGCAAAGAATTAAATATATATAAAGAGGGTTAAAGTAACATATAGTAGGTAGATACCGTATCATGTTAAATGCGATGCCAATTTGTGTCATGCATGGCAATAAATATGATGCATGCCAACTAGAATATTCTAATCCCAGGATTAAAATAACTATTTGGATCACAGCCAACCCTTATACAGGCCCGATGGGATGTTTTCAAACTCCCAAAAACAAAAAAAACTGATCGGCCCATGCCCAACCCCCACCCCACCTCCCGCACTGTCGGATCCCTCGACCACCTCCCGCCGCCACCCCCGACCCCGACGCACCTCCTGCCGCCGGCCACCCGACCCCAACGCCCACCCGCTGCTGGCCACCGGAGCTGCCGCCCCCACTCGCGAGCTCCGCCACCTCCTCCTTCCTGCGCGCGGCCTCCTCCTCCCGGCTCACCGTCGCCCTCGCATCGTCCCGGGTCGCCGCCAAGGTTCCCAGTCCCCTCCACCCGCCGTAGCTTCCGACGACGCCCACACCGCTGCTCCTCGACCACCGACGGCAGACGCATCCATCCTCCTCGGCCGCCGCGACCTTCTTCCTCTGCCGCTGCGACCTTCCTCCTCTCCCATCGCGGCCTTCTTCCCTCCAGTGCCTCCCCAGATCGGCGACTCGATGCATGTTCCCCCACCTGTGGCCCTCCCCTGTGCTCACTTTCTTCCCTCGGCCGCCGGCGTGAGAGCCGCCCACGCCACCCTGCACTGCCACCTTCCTCCTCCTGGCCGGCCTCCCGGCTCCGCTGTGGGGAACAGAGTCGCTGCGCACCACCTAGTCATCACTACCACCCCTCTTCCTCCATACTACTGCTGCCCCTCTTCCTCCATGCTACTGCCACCTTCGAATCTGCCCCCACACCCCAGGGTGTCTGCGCCAAGCTGCCCTCTCTTCTACTAGCAGTGCACACAAGTTGTTTGTGTATATGCCTTGAACAAAAAATCATCTCTGAAAATTAGCAATCAACCAATCTCTAGCCAATATTAGTGCCAAAATTTGGCATGCCAACTTTTGGCATCAAACCAGTTATGCTATTGGTTGTGTTCTGTAAAACACAAAAAATACAGCCTGGTTGTGAGTAGTTCTTCAAATGCAGTTGGACGAACTTTTAGTCATTGTACCACATTTGGTTTTAAGTTACTTTGTCATTCACTAAAAGAAATGCTTAGCTGTGTCTCTAATACTCCAATATTTGACATTGTTGTGTTCTGCCCACTATCCAGCATAAATGATGGAATTGGGGGCAAGGCAATTATTGCTAAGAAAGATTTCCTCGGTCTGCTTCTGATATCATATTTGGATCTCTAGTTAACCACATGCTTGATATTTATCCTGATTTCCATAGCAAGTTCAGAATTTTGGAGAACCTTTCTTTATGGTTATTCGTGAGGATGAGACCTTATCTTCTATTAAAGAACGTTTACAGAAAAAGCTTAAGGTCTCAGATGAGGATTTCTCCAAGGTAATGAGGATTTTCCCATGGTTTCTGCAGCATATATTGCGATGTATATAAATATGTGGTTTTATTTTTTGCTATAGCGGCATAGTGCATCCGTGTCCGCCGCCCAATCTTCGTTAGATGTGATGTTATTGAGATATGTGTATGCTTACTAGTTAGAATATTTAACGCCAGTCAAACATCAAATATCTGAGTTGGCATTTATAGCCTAAGGTCTCACTCGGGGCTTAAGAAACACAGTTAGCTATCAAATTTTGGTTGGCGCTCATAAAATGATTATGAAAAGCGTAAGCTTTTTCTTTTCTCTGGTAGGCTTTTCGTTAGCGGCTTATCGCCTATATATTTCGATGTGGAACTTTAAATATTCCGACACATACTGTCACAAACCTTGGTTCATGAATGCTTAGGTGATGGGGGATATAGTGGAGGTTCTTAATTTCATCAAAGCGGTCCTCTATGTTTCGAAGTCTAACAATCTAAAATAAATAACTAAATTATGCTTCTCTAAATTGGTGTTAACCTAATTGGAAAGGTACTCCTTCCGTCCCAAAATAAGTGTCTTAACCTTAGTACAACTTTGTACTAAAGTTAGTACAAAATTGAGACACTTATTTTGGGATGGAGGAAGTATTAATACTTATTGGAAGATAGCGGGGGTCCATCCCAATTGGCGACAACTCCCTGTGGGATAGGACATGAGTTGCTTATCTGCATGACACATCATCCACAATGCATATAATTAATCGACTACATTGGTCTAAGCTTGGCAGTAATCTCTAGAAAATTAGGCTTTGTCCATTTGAAGTTGTTGGGCTGCTTTAAACATGATACATACTATCTTTTTATTTCTCCGAGGTGTGTTTATCTTGCATTTTGTATGTGGAGCTAACACCTAGTACAAACATTGGTTAAAATGTACTTGTCCGGTGCTAACAAATGTTCTATTTGAACAGTGGAAATTTGTGTACATATCCCTTGGTTGCCCAGACTATTTTGAAGATTCTGACACTGTAGCCACGAGATTTCAGGTACTACGATGCTAGTTATCTACTTGATGAAGCAGCTTTTGTAGCGCTTAATTTGATTTCAATTGTATAAACTTGTTTAGAGATACATGTATCGAGCTTGGGCGCAGTATCTTGGACTGGAGCACCCAGACACAGCGCCAAGAAAGGCACATAGTGCTAACCAGGTACTTGTTGCACATTGTTGCAACTTGTGCCAATAATGTTAGGCATGTTGTCTGGAATTTTGCTAATTTCATATTTTGTGCGCAGAACCGCCATTCATTTGAGAGGCATGTAAAGATCTACAACTAAACAGTTGTGAGAAGCGGGAGCGACGTCCTGCCATGCAATACCACCAAGCAAGTGGCTGAAAGTGAAATTGCTGGCTTGAATAAATTGTGTACCATATGATGGCAGGACTGGTTGCTCAAGTTATTGACGGAGCCTGTAAGCTAGCGTTTCCGCGCACTTTGCCCTGGATATATAAAGTTTGTGCAGATATGACCCAACGAACCATCACCTTTTAGTAGATAAGGAGGTTGTTTTTCTTTTCTTGCACTAGGTGCTCTATACAGTCAAATAGTTGGTTACAGGAGAAGTTCATGTACAGCGACAACAACAAAGTTCATGTTGTCAGAAAACTAAAGTCCATGTATATGGAAGTTGATGATTGTTGTGTGTATGCACGGGGGCACAAAAAAACCTGTGGCTAACAAGTTTTCCTGTTATTTAGCCGCAACAATCTTTCTTGACCTCTTTGACAATCTTTTACCTTGTTATATCTTGCAGATAGTCGATTGAAGGGTGTTTTCCTTGAGAATGGAACCTCAGAGGTAATAAAATACGGACAACACCTTCAACATGGCAATATCTTCTTGCAACTTCTACTGAACTTAATACCAAGATAGTAGCCATTCTTTCAACTTCTGGACTTCATTTGTAAGAACCATTCTGGATTCCTAACAACATCTCTGCAATATTTTAGGAATTCTCGCTTCTTCTTCCACAGCTCGCGAGATCAAAGGGCATTGTCGACAAAGCTAAGCTCAAGAGTGCAACTTCAGTCGAAGATATGCATTAGAGATTGCGATAAGCTCTCACTAGTCTGGCTCTTCTGTTTAACTTGTGTCAACACATATGACCTCTTCAGTTTGGGACTATAGTTTCTTTTGAAAAGTCACGACTACGATGACAAATAATGCGGCCATAGTATCTGTTCTATGCGTGGTTTGTAATTTTCTTAGATGCCCCTTGGCCTTTAACATAACTTTGGTACTTGTGGCATATTGTTTGTTATAACTATGTCTGCGCTGCTTGTTTCTTCCCAACATCTCCTTGGTTGCTGTAATGTTGCTTCGTTTTGGTTGTAAAATATACGTGGTCTAATGTTTGTTATATGTTTGAAAGATAGTGCAAATCTGGGTGGGGGTGTTCCTCACATATGTATGTTCTCGACATAGTTGAAGCTTCATAGGAATTTTTCCTTTTCAAATGTCAGACGTTCACTTGTGCAAAAAAGGTTCCTTAACCTCATTTACAGGAGAAAGTACACATAAATCCTGAGGTTCAAATTTTTAAACAGAGAACAAGTGCACGCAAGTTCATAATTGGTAAAATTAGAACAAACATCAACACTAAGGAAACCTTCAAAAAAAG